CTTCATTATTGGAGCGTATTTGTGATCGGCAGTTTGATGATCCCCATTTGTGTGTCCTTAGAGACACGGTGCAGCGAGGAGGTGCCAAGCAGGTTACCTTAGATGCGGATGGAGTTTTGAGATTGCAGGGGCGAGTTTGTGTGCCTAATGTGGATGGGCTTCGAGAGTTGATCTTAGAGGAGGCCCATAATTCCCGGTACTCTATTCATCCGGGCGCCGCGAAGATGTATCAGGATTTGCGGCAACATTATTGGTGGCGTAGAATGAAGAAGGATATCATAGCATATGTGGCTCGTTGTTTGAATTGTCAGCAGGTTAAGTACGAGCATCAGAGGCCTGGTGGTGTATTTCAGAGGATTGAGCTTCCCGAGTGGAAGTGGGAGAGGATCACTATGGACTTCGTTACCGGACTTCCGTTGACTCGGAAGAAGTTCGATACAGTTTGGGTCATTGTGGATAAGCTGACCAAGTCAGCGCATTTCATTCCTGTGGCAGTCTCTTATTCATCTAAGAGGTTGGCTGAGATCTATATCTGGGAGATTGTTCGCCTTCATGGTGTGCCGGTATCTATCATTTCGGACCGGGGTACGTAGTTTACCTCGCGCTTCTGGGGAGCAATCCAGCAAGAGTTGGGAACACGGGTTGAGTTGAGCACAACATTTCATCCCCAGACGGACGACCAGTCCGAGCGGACTATTCAGATTTTGCAGGATATGCTTCGAGCTTGTGTTATTGACTTTGGAGGTTCATGGGATCAGTTCTTGCCTTTAGCGGAGTTTGCCTACAAATACAGCTACCAGTCGAGCATCCAGATGGCTCCTTATGAGGCTTTGTATGGTAGGCGGTGTCGGTCTCCGATCGGATGGTTTGAGCCGGGAGAGGCTCGGTTGATAGGTACGGATTTGGTTCAGGAAGCCTTGGACAAGATCAAGATCATTTAGGATAGGCTTCGTTCAACTCAATCTAGGCAAAAGAGCTATGCGGATCGTAAGGTTCGAGATGTAGCTTTCATGGTTGGTGAGCGGGTATTGCTCCGAGTGTCGCCTATGAAGGGCGTGATGAGATTTGGGAAGAAGGGCAAGCTTAGCCCTAGGTTCATTGGTCCGTTTGAGATTCTTGATCGAGTGAGAGAGGTGGCTTATAGACTTGCAATGCCGCCCAGCTTATCAGTCGTGCATCCAGTTTTTCATGTGTCCATGCTTCGGAGGTATCACGGCGATCCAGCCCACGTATTAGATTTCAGCACTGTCCAGTTGGACAAGGATCTGTCTTATGAGGAGGAGCCGGTAGCTATTTTGGACCGGCAGGTTCGTCAGTTGAGATCCAAGAGTTTCCCTTTTGTTCGTATTCAATGGAGAGGTCAGCCCCCTGAGGCATCGACCAGGGAATCCGAGTCTGACATGCGGAGTCGTTATCCTCATCTTTTCCCCGACTCATGTACTTCTTTCTTTTGTCCGTTCGAGAACGAACGGTTGTTTTAGAGGTGGAGAATGTGACGGCCCAAAGGATCATCACCTGTTTTTGCACTCATTCCGTACTTTCGAGGCCTCGAAAACCTCATTCAAGGTTGCCTCGATTTGCGTGCGCAATCCGGGCGCGTAGCCGGAAAGCTTAAATATGAACTCCGTGTGAAAAAATGCTAAATTTTGATATTAATATGAATATAGTTGACTTCGGTCAACATTTTAGGTAAAGGGACCCGGATCCGTGATTTGACGGTCCCGGAGGGTCCGTAGAAAAATATGGGACTCGGGCATTGCCCGGAGTCGAATTCCGAGGTCTCAAGCCCGAGAAATGAATTTTTGTGTGAAATTATTTTCTGGGAATGATTAAGGAAAATGAAAATGAAATTTGATTAAAAGACCATGGTATCGGGCCCGTATTTTGGTTCCGGCGCCCGGTACAAGTCTTATATATGGTTTAAGCGCTTTCTGTAAAGTTTGGTTGAAATCGGACGTCGTTTGACGTGTTTCGGACATAAAATGGAAAAATTGATGTTTTATGAAAATTTGGAAGAAATCATGAGATTTGAGGCTTGATCCGTTGTTTTTTATGTTATTTTGGCGAGTTGATCGCACGAGTAAGTCCGTAGGATGTTTTTGAGGTTGTGTGTATATTTGGTTTGGAGCCCCAAGGGCTCGGGTGAGTTTTGGATAGGCCATGCATTGCATTTTTGAACTGGTAAAGATCTGGTATTTTGGCTTCTGTGATTTTCGCAAATGCGAAGAGGAGACTCGCAATTGCGAGCTCGCAAATGCGAGCTTTGAGTCGCAATTGCGAAGTCTGGGGACTGGGCATAGGATCGCAAATGCGATTCATTTGCTCGCAAATGCGAACATGGGAATTCCGGGCACTGGTCGCAAATGCGATCATGGTGCTCGCAAATGCGGAGGGTGTTTGATCGCAAATGCAATCATCTTTTCGCAAATGCGAAGTCCGGCATTGTGCACAGTGTTCGCAAATGCGAACTTGACTTCGCAATTCCCAAGTTAGCAGGTCGGGGTTCGCAATTCCCATATCCGAGGCCCAGTAAATTTTATACTTAGTCGAATTTTCATCACTTTTCACCATTCTTTCAAAACCCAAAAACCATAGGTGATTTTTCAAGAACAAACTTCATCCCAAATCATTTGTAAGTCGATTTTACTCAATTCTTTCAATCTTTAACATCATTTAATATGTTTTCCACTTAAAATCAAGGATTTTCATGGGTGAAATTGGGGTTTTTGGGTAGAACCTAGGTTTTCTAAAAATTGGGAATTTGGACCTCGATTTGAGGTCCGATTTCAAAACAAATTACATATTTGAGTTTGTGGGGGAATGGGTAACCGGGTTTTGGTTCGAACCTCGGGTTTTGACCACGTGGGCCCGGGGGCGATTTTGGAATTTTTGGGAAAAACTTGGGAAATTCATTTTTATGCATTCAAATTGATTCATTTAGTGTTTATTAAAGTAATTGAGCAATTTGTGACTAGATTCGAGCAAATTGGAGGTGGAATCACGGGGTAAAGCGATTGTTGAGGATTGAGTGGAATTCAAGGCTTTGAGGTAAGTGTTTCGTTTAACCCTAGCTTGAGGGAATAGGAGTTAAGTTTTATTTGTAACTTGCTAATTGTCGAGTACGATGTATAGGCATGGTGACGAGTATCTATACATTGGTGTCTAGCATAACCGTGAGTCCTTATTTGCGAATAGTTTGGTTGTTGTTATGCCTTCCATGCTTAAATGATGACTTCTATATGTTGTAAAGACCTTGTGAAAGAAATTGTGATCTTGAGACTTAGTGGAGCATTGGCTCGGGTTGAAATACAAATTGTGAAGGTATATGAGATAAGTAACTCTTTGGAGCATTGGCTCAAGCGATAATGTGAACTATGAGATGAAAGTGAAAGAAAGAAAAGAATTAATGATCCATTCCCTTGCCGAGACGTTGTTGGTTATTGATATTGTACCCTTGCCGGATTGTAATTGTTGTTTGTGTTCCCTTGCCGGGATTTTTATTATTGTTTATTTATTTCCCTTGCCCTTGTTTGTTATTGTTGATATGGTGAGGAAGAGTGTTAAAGCACGAAGGGTGATGCCGTGCGCTGTTTGTTTATGGTAATGAAAGAGTGTAAAGCACGAAGGGTGATGCCGTGCATTGTTGCTTATTATGAGAAAAGTGTTAAAGCACGAAGGGTGATGCCGTGCCGCACGATGTACCATTCCGTGCCGATTCTATTGATATATGTGAGGAATGAGAGTAAAAGCACGAAGGGTGATGCCGTGCACATGTTATTGCTTGGTGAGGACGAGAGTAAAAGCACGAAGGGTGATGTCGTGCATTGGTTGAATTTTGTTTCATTACGTACTATTGAATTGTGCTGTATTCCTTTATTATTGGATGACTCTTATTTGGAATTTATTATACTTCCCACAGCATGTTCCCCTCCCATATTGTTTATCTGTTTTGTATTTCGATTCTGCTATATATATATATATATATATATATGAAGTTGCACAGGTTTATGTGGTAGTCTGGTCTAGCCTCGTCACTACTTCGCCGGGGTTAGGCTAGACACTTACCAGCACATGGGGTCGGTTGTGCTGATGCTACACTCTGTGCATTTTTGCACATGTCCAGGTTTCGAGCAGCAGCAGCAGCAGCTTTAGTTCGGGAGCATATCTTCAGTCCGGAGAGACCTAAGGTAGCCTTGCAGGCGTCCGCAGGCCCGGCGTCTCCCTTCTATCCTTATATTAGACTGTCATCTCTTTGTATTCAGGATAAGCCGATTTATGTTTCTTTCAGACCTTGTATTTAGTAAACTCTTAGCAGTTCATGAGTAATGTGACACTAGTCTTGGGTAGAGGCTTATATTGACTACTTCATATTTTATTTAGTTTCTATAATTAAGACTTCCGCTATTAATCAGTTTTGTTGTTTTATATTGTTGTCATAAATTGTTAAAAATAATTGTTTATTAATGGAAAAGTAATCAAAATGGCTTGCCTAGCTATTACGAGTAGGCGCCATCACGACTCCCGAGGGTGGGAAATCCGGGTCGTGACATGGGTGGTGATGGTTGATAATGGTGGCGGCTATGATTAAGGATGATGGTGGCGTGGTGGGGGTGGTGGTTAAGTATGGTGGTGGTAGTGGCATGGTGGTAGTTGATAATGGTAGGCGATGACGGCAATTAATAATGAATGTGATAGATAGCATCTTAATGAAATTAAGTCTCTGTTATAAATCTTAATCATAAAGACCTATTCAGACCCATTAAGTGGTTGTGAAGTAAAAAAAACAAACACACTTAATGATTAAGATCTGCATAATTAAGATTCAGACTTTAAAAACAAACGCACTTAATGTCTGTGATCTGAATGATTAAGATTCAGACCTCCATTAAGTGCAAACAAATGAGGCCTTAATATATCACTACAATTTCCAATCTTTTTTAATCATAAGAACAAGACATTATTACATACTCCTAAAATGTAGAATTTTAATAAAACCAATCTCATTGAACAAGCATTAGAATCTTGTTTACTAGTAGAAAATTCTGTACAAAGCCGCCTGGAAATCTTTTGCAATACAAGCTTCTCCAAGGAGAACATAACAACATTATTACAAACTCCTAAAAATGTATGCTAATATTATCCGATGACACCCAAAAAAAACAAAAACATGAGAAAAACACACAATAAAGAACCCTTATACAAACTCAAAGCGCATGAGTAGCCTCGCGGAACTATATTTCTCACCTTTTCGGTCACAAAGGGGAACTGCATGAATCCCAGGTTTCAACTCGGAAACAGGTATACATGTTTGGCCAGCAAAATCATCCTTCTCTGACATGTCGTACTCGTGTACTTCTATTCGCAGCAAAGCTAATTCGGGCACAGTTAATGGGAAGGTAAATTCTTCATCCCAAACTGGCGTCCATTTATCCTCTTTAGTCTTTGTTTTCTTCATTATCTCATCAGCAGGCACTCCGGCTATCCCAACCTGTAATCAGAGACGGATTCAAGATTTAGATTTGATGCGTTCAACCTTTTAAGTTCTTACCATTGAATCCATTGCACTTCTGAAATTATAGGTTCATAAATTAATGTTTATTGTAGTATTACTGACTTTCCACATACATTTATACTCCGTATCGAAAGTTGGCAATGCAATTGACCGACATTTTTCATGTCTTTGCATGTGATGGTTTGGAAACATCACAAAAGCAGTGAAAAGAAGGAAGCGGCGGTGTAAGTACAAAGCAACACTGGCTTACCCTTGTGTAGAAGTCCGGAGGCGAATACAAGTCAAAGTGTGTTTGCTTGAAATCTAAATGCCATCCATCTCCCATATATACTTTCACCTGTCCGGAAAATGAGAGCATAAGAAACTTACATTGGTTAAAGGATGTTGTATTCAAACAGTCATTTGCTTACCTTTAAGGTTTTCTTAACTGGCAACTTTGCCTTCGGATCAAAAACTTCATTATTAGGGCCAACATTCAGCAAGAAATCAGGCTTTTTAACATAACCACAGCCTCCATTCGACCTGAACATCCCGTGCATCAACCACAGTGCTCTACCGTATCCCTGTCATCGTTAGGTAATACGTGTATCTATTAAGTTAAAAATCTAAAGAAGTTCCAAAATGTAAAATTTGTAAATATCTGTTGAAATGTGATCGGCAGATAGCGAGTTTGAAATAAAAAACATATATAGCATTTCGATTTAGAGAATTTAAAATCCAAGTAAGAATTTGAGTTTAAGTTTTCATTTTAAAAAAGGGATAATTACATTTTTGGGCTGTCCAAAAAAATAATAGCCGGCAAATGTAAATGTCTTGTATATTAAGAATAAATATACATGATATACATATCATATACCTAATAAGTGTATATGCTTTGTATATTTGGGCTACCGCCGGTAATTATTTTGGGCCGCCGCGCTAAAAATGAAAAAAAAATCCCGTTAAGAAAAGGTTAAAATTTGAGTCCACAATTTTTGAGCTACACGTTGATTTAGCAAGGACCTGAAATCTATGAGTTCTCAATCAAAAGACTATGAAGGAGAAGTATCAAACAAAATATAAGTATTTTTAATCTGAAGCAGGAGATATCAAATGACACCCGGATAATTTTTTAGAGTGTCTGCAATACAGTTTACATTCAAATACCGGACTTAGCATCTATAAATCCAATGGATTCTTCATTCTTATGTAATTTAAGCAGGCAATGAAACCAATGTCGGATATGCAGTCCCATATTACTTATTTTCTTATTTAGTTTGACAAATAGCAACACAATAACACAACTATGCCTCTATCCCAAACAAGTTGAGGTTGGCTATACGAACATTCACTGACCATGTTCCATATTTAAATCCATCAGGCCAACATTATTACAATATAAAAATAAAAAAGAGAAGTACTAGAAGTTCTCTATATTTCCTACTGACATAAGAATCTATTAAGTTTGACAAACAGCAGGACTAATAAATTTGGTTAAAGCGGAGAACTCTTTATTAATATAGTCTATTAAGCTAGAATCACTTAGCATGAGCCATTTATGAATCAAAGAACAATGGTATGAAACTAGATAAATGCAAAATAGCAGTAACGAGTTTAACGCATATCAAACATCAAGAAGCAGCATCATTGGAAATGAGATGTTGCTGAACAAATAGTAAAAATAACACAAGGTATCATGTAATAGAGAAGCAAATGAAGACTCAGAACCAAACCTGCATGTTAAATGCAACCATCTGAGCTCCATGCATCCAACCTATTAGTGGCTTGTAGTTGGAGGAGTTAAATCTAGTACCTTTCGGATACACCCTTAAAATGTTTCTATGTGTGAACCTAGTAAAAATATTCAGCAGAAATTAGGACAAGTCCATGACAACTCCACTGACGGCAGCTTAAAGCCACCTCGACTGTCTATCTTTGTTATGCTGAAATACAAACCTCACAATTTCCGTTCCATGAGATTCGGCAGCCTTTTCGAGAGCCTGTTCACTTAAACTTAGTCGTCTTACTTTATCAGGATCGACTTTCAGTGCCTCCTTTAATCCACCTTTAGGCTTCCCGGCATGGATGGCGATCAGGCGTTTATAAGCAGATGCTAACTGTGGTCTGTGATTGGAGTCATCTTCATCTTCAAAATTATCACTGTCGCTCTGCAGAAAATGAACCCAAGGTACCAATATCATTAGTATTTGCACATTAGACAATACATGGATAATAAGGTGAAGAATATCTAAGTTGCTCGGACTCGGGTGCGGGTGTCCAATACGGGTGCAGATCTAGAGGTCGAATCCTTCATTTTTGATTTGATTTCAGAAATCATTGTATCTGTCCCGAATTTCTCCGTTGATTTTGGCCAAAGTACCCAGAATCAGTTGACCAGATCCAGTAAGGATCCCACACCCACACCTACGTCGTGTCGACACGGGTGCGGCACCGGAAGTGAAGAGTCCGAGCAACTTAGAAGAATATCCACTTGCAGCAGACCTTTTCATTTTCAACTTGATCGGCTATCAAGCTTGAAGGTTCAGCACCCCATACATCATCCTCAGAACAATTTGATCTCTGGGAGCTATTTCGTCTCTCTTTACTAGCAGTAGTACTGGCACTGGCCTCAAGGTACTCTTTAGGAGGTTTGGTTGAAATAATTATACGATGCTTTAGTTCTTCTGGTGTTGGGCATTCCTTTAGAGTATCTGATTCAGGAACAAAGAGCATTTCTCCAAATGTTTCAGTGAGCATCTGCAAGTAAAACATGACGATAACATCTCATTAACGAATAAAAGGAGGAAAGAAGGAATAACGGCAAGAAATGGATATTCACCTGAGCCACTTTAGCCTGAAGATCAGGCGTTAGGTGATCTTCCAGTGTAATTACAACAGGATAGGGAGAAGCCACAAAAGCATGTTCTTTTATTGACTTGAGACATCTTATTAATTCCACAGGGGTTGTCACTGTCCTGCATTTGCCAAAAAACTACTTATAAATATTTCGTGGGAAGTAATGAAGAAAATTAGTAAATGTAAATGCTGCAATCTCTACTAGATTACAACCAACAATGGACGTCTAATTGTCCCTCATTTTTGACCTTACATAAAGATTTGGGATGAAGGTGCAAGGAGTTCCAACAAGTCAATTAGTAACTTATAATCACCATACGTTCAATTTCAAAACTCCAATCTTGAGCACAACACCAATTCAAAGCTTCACCTTTTGAAAAGAAGAACTTACCAATCAAAAAAAAAAAAACTTTGAACACAAGAACTGTAAAGCTCTAAAAGAAGGTTAATCAATTTCAGTACTTCATTGAAAAAGAAAAAGGGAAAAGAAGAACACCGAAGCTACTCGTTAAATATGTCAGACATAATTAATCATGTTTATCACAATAAGTAAAAGCCGGAGTGAGTAGCAGATGGCATAATACTTGCACCATATAGCGATTGACTCTATATGCAAGTAAGGATATATTTCCAGTCAATAAATCTACTCAACAAACTAATAAAACCAACAAGACTTTCACAAGGAATAGAGGGTTTAGGGACAATTTTGAATATCACCGCATGAACTACTTTTGCTGCTATTAAAAACCACATAAAGATAATAACACAACTAAAGACAAGTGCACGTAGAGACGTAGTATATCTTCTCAACATTCGATTACGCCTACATTTACAGCCAGTGGTTATCATCCCAAAACCTCACATTAAATTATGTTGCTTCCACCACAAAAGTATAAGGTGATGTATTAAAATTCAATTTAAAGCTTTTGGACTGAGCATGCTATCATTCTTCTATAGCTGACTGATATTTCTGTCCACTTTCAGAGGATAAGTCAATAGTTTCTTTATGAGCTAATTAAGGCATATTTTATTTTTTGGCTTGCTTTAAGTAATAACTCCTAGTACAATACGGCGCTCAGTTTACCTTTCCTCCAGCTTCACACGATATTATGAGAAAACCTGATGGTAAGAAATAAACTTTATGATGGTTAGAGCAGAGTATTGATTTTAGAAGAATATGATGTCTCTTGAATCTAACTAGCGTAAGCTGAAGGTATTAGAATCTCCAAAAATAAATGACTTACACAACGCCACCTTTTCTACGTTTGGCAAAAGCATGTGCGTATACAACTAAACTATTCTGGTAGCATATTAGAACCCCATGAATATCCGTCTCTTATTTGCTGGTGTACATGCCGGGAAGTTTAAAACAATTCTCTACTTAAGACCATATAAGATCTTCAATCATTCCAAAATTGCCAGAGGGTCTAGGCTACTAATTTTGGGAAAGAGAAGACTTTCTTGGAGACAGACTACTCTAATAACTAGGCGGTCAATAAAACGCAACAGCGGCTAGGAGATACACAAACCTTCCGTGAAGTACGTGTATGTCATCCTTGTCAGAATTTGGCCATATATCAAGCTCTATCACTCTTACACCTTTTTTCAGCGCCTTTATAATTGGGACATCACTGCAATCACTCGTCAGCTGATTCCCAGTCAAGTAAGAATTGTGTCCCGTGAATATAAAATAATGGGAGAGGGGAGCATTCATATCATGGTGAACCTGAAAGTGCAAATGTAATGAGTTAAAGGCCTTTCAAGAAACACATATACATCAACCATCAATCAATCAATCAGTCGATTATGCTCAATCCTAATTACTACTATTCGGATATACAAATCATCTTATACCCATTCAAAAGTTGCTCCTTAATACTAAACCAAGTGCTGACCGAGTTAGTGATCATGTTATTGAAGAATGCCCTCCATTTTTCTGTTTGTAGTTAAGGGAAGCCTCTTTAGTCGATTAAAGATCCAAAAAAGATAAGTTGCTTATTTTTCACAAGGGTAGACATATTCAGGTTTTAAAATTCCAACTTTTTCGGTAACCCAAATTCGCATCAAGGGTAATGTGTAGAAGTACACACTACAAATATAACGCTTAATAGGTAACAAGGAACTGACCTTCAAACTCTGAGAAACTCAAAAAGGGAAAATTCACTCAAAGTCTCAAACTTTATGCATTTCCAAATAAGACAATGATCCAACAATGAAAACAGCTATAGCTAAGAATTGATTGGGGGATTAAGGTCCGCAGAGGGAAAGTGGTGGAAATCTTCAAGAATAAGAGCTTGGTGACTTACTTTCTACAGAAAGTAGACACTTCAAATAATGCTTAAATGATAACAATGTAGTGAATTCAACCCAAAGAGAAACCCAAAATGGGAAAATTCACTCAGTCTCAAACCTTATGCTTTTCCCAAATGGAATTAAGTTATATACACCCGACAGTGTAACGTACATCTACACAGTTTACTCCAATTTAACAGGCTCTATTTTCTCCACGTTACCATGGCAGACTTAGACTCGATACAAAGAACTACCCCTTATTGTAGGCCAAGTTAACTTAATGGTGCAAAAATTCTATATTACGCCACTGCACAGAACTTAAACTAATTCTAAATAAGACCAAAGATCCAACAATAAAAGCAAGAATACAACAACAACAACAACAACAACAACAACAACAAACCCAGTGTAATCTCACAAGTGGGGTTTGGGGAGGATAATGTGTACGCAGACCTTACCCCTATCTTGTGAAGGTAGAGATGTTGTTTCCGATAGACTCTCCGCTCAATAAACAGTGAAAAAAGCAAGAATACACAGACAGTATAAATTCTTTTTACACAATCACCTCAATTTAACTGACTCAACTTTCCATATTACCATATCAAGACATATGAAGCAGTTACCTTTTATTGTAGGTGAAAAAATCCACACACACATTAGTGCACAGAACTTAAACTTTTTCTAAATAAGACAAAGATCCAACAATACAAGCAAGAATACACTAACAGCATAAAGATTTTTTTTACACAATCCCTTCAATTTAACCAGCTCAATTTTCCATGTTACCACACCAAACATACAAAGAATTACTCCTACCTTTTACTGTAGGTAAAAAATCTACTACACAGAACTTAAACTCTTTCTAAATAAGGAAAAAGATCCAACAACAAAAACAAAAGTACCTTATAATTAATTGGTGGATTAAGGTCAGTATTGAAGAGGAAATGATGAAAATCTTCAAGAGTAAGAGTTTGACGAGTTAACTTAGTAATGGGGTGTCTTTTCTGAAGGATCTGACGAATAATGGCATCAGCATCACCAACAGTCAAAAGGGTCTCTCCTTGTACTTCAATCAAGAATTTCAGTAACTGTTCTGAATTCATTTGGTTACCATTTTCAGTATATTTCTTGAATGCTTCTTTTACATCTGATGGTGGCTCTGCTTCTGTTACTCTGAATTTTCTTGTAAAACATACACATACTCTATAACTCCCCATTTTCAAGATTCTTGAAGTTAAAAAGAAGAGATTAAATGGGGTTTTTGGAACCCCAAGTTTTAACTTTTTTGAGTTAATACGTACTACAGAAAATGGTGATGATAGATATATGTATAGATAATATATAAATTAATGGATAGGTCAATGAAGAAAGTGGAACTGTTGGTAGTTTGGTAGCTGGTTAGAAGAAAGGTTATTCACGTATAAGGGCTTATAGTTATTTTGTATAAAATTCTGTATAACTAATACCATGTTTGGTTGACATTTTTCAATTATGCATAAATAATACATGTATAAGTTATGAGTCAATCTGTGTATTATTTTATGCGGGTTAGAAGATGGAATAACTAATACATGTATTAGTAATACATGGATAAAATACTGAAATGACAAATTTACCCCTATCACTTTACACATAAGGCTTCCTTATTTCTCTGCCAACCCGTCAACAGGTTTCACTTGCTTTCACTTGCCAACTATATACCTTGTCTTCTCTCATTTTTAAAGAACAAACTAGCAAAAGCAAACTGGAGAAGCCACTAGAAAATGGAAATACCAAAACTAAGAAGTGAAAATCAAATATGTCTAAACTTCACATAGTTCAGTAGTATGACGAAGAAGTGAAAGTAACACCCAAAGTTCCTAACTAAATTGTTTCCTACATAAATGGAAAGAGAGAAAAAACAATGCAAAAGAAGGTCAGGGGTATAGTTGTAAACAAGCATTTTACTTTAAAATTTATATAATGTATATCAATTTCTAATACAACAAACCAAACATTCAAAAAAATAATCTCTGCATAACTAATCCCTGCATAACTAATCCCTGCATAACTAATCCCTGCATTACTAATCCCTGCATAACTAATACATGTATAACTAATACCTGCATAACTCTAACCGGTAACCAAACGACCCCTTAGTGTTTTAGGTTGGAAGAAGACAGATGTATTTGTCTCATGGATTTTGTTGTTATAAAAGTATATGCTCTTTATGTAATTTAATAAGTATAGAAAATAGTACGATAATTTCTTATTGATATACCGTGTGAATGCAGCGTATACAAATAATAATTTTGTCGGTCAAAACGTAAGCATAGGTTTGAACTTTGAACAATAAAAAGGTAATGGGTTAAATTTTATCCTTTTTCGGGATTAAGCAACTTTATTCATTGTTAGATTCTTAATCTAATATTAGATTTATCATTTAAAATGTCATTTAATCCAAGATTCTTAATCTAATGTTAGGTTCATTGTTAGATTCTTAATCCAATCTAATCTAATAGCATCGAAATAATCAGGTGTCATGCATAAGCAAACCTTGAACGACGAAAAATCAGACAACAAAAGAAAAATATATGTTAAAATTTGTAGATCGAACGGAAATAGAGAAGATTGAATTTAGGGTTCATGTTTAGAGAGGAAGCTTCGAGAGGGTTTTTGTCATTTCTTTTCTGACAAAAAACTATTACAAAATTATCTAACTTCTCAATTATATTGGGCTATAATGAAAGAATACGATTAATAGAGAAAAAAGAAAAGTGGGCTGGATTTGTTAATAAATACAGCTGGGCCAAATGGGCCAAACACCTAACTAACTATCATCAACTCAAATCAGGTAACTCCAACACCACCACCACCACCACCACCACCCCCACCCCCCTTTCAAGTTGGAGGGTGGTAACACGCCCAACTTGCCAAGCAACAACCTGTGATGTCCACCTGTCAAATACTTAGTGAAAACATCAGCAAGTTGAGAAGATGTAGGAACATGATATAAGGAAATAAGACCATCTGCCAACATTGTGCGAATGAAGTGGCAATCAACCTCAATAAGTTTTGTGCGCTCATGGAAAATAGGGTTTTTAGCAATGTGGAGGGCAGCCAAGCTGTCACACAAAACAGGGATAGAGGTGGACAACTGAAGACCCAAATCTGCCAACAAACGAACCAACCATGCAAGCTCAGCCACTACTTTCTTCATGGCCCGATATTCTGCCTCAGCAGAAGACAAGGAGACAATAGCTTGTTTCTTACATTTCCAGCTAATCAAACTACCCCTAAAGACACACAAAAACCAGAAATTGATCTGCGCGAGTCAGGGTAAGAAGCCCAATCACTGTCACAAAAAGCTTGAACAGAAAAGTCAGGAGAACCATTGAGATAAACCCCAACATCAGGTGTACCTTTCAAATACCTTAAAACATGTAATGCAGCAGTCATATGAGGCACACGAGGTGATTTAAGAAACTGACTCAGGTGTTGCACATCAAAACATAAATCTGACCTAGTATGAGTGAGAAAATTCAATTTTCCAACCAAACTTCTATAGGTTTCAGGATTGGGCAGCAAGGTCTCAATATTAGATTTGAGCTTGACACATAACTCAAGTGGAAATGAGACAACAGAAGCATCAGAACATGCATATTCAGCAACTAGCTCAGAAACAAATTTCTTCTAATGAAGATGTACCCCAAAATCAACATACAATACCTCAATTCCCAGAAAATATTTGAGTATCCTAAGTCTTTGATTTTAAACTGATCATCTAAAAATATTTTGAGGGCATTGATCTCTTAAGGGTCATCCCCCAGCGAGAATAATGTTGTCTACATAGACAGCAAGAAACACAGTAGATAAATCTGACCTTTTAATAAAAAAGGAGTAATCATTTGAGGAATGTGTATAACCTCTAGTGCAAAGTGCCTGTGACAGCTTAGCATACCATTGCCTAGAGGTTTGTCGTAAACCATAAAGGGATCGCAACTTACAAACTAAAGGAGAAGCAAATTGAGAAGAGGAAACAACTGTGAGGCCTTGGGGAAGTTTCATATACACCTCCTCATCTAAGTCCCCATGAAGGAAGGCATTATTCACATCCAACTGATATAAAGACCACCCTTTCTTAATGACAAAAGCAACTAAACACCTAATGGTACACATTTTGACAACCGGGGAAAATATTTCATTAAAATCAACTCCTTCAATTTGCGTATCACCCCTCACTACCAACCTTGCCTTATATCTTTCTACACTTCCATCACGCTTGTACTTAATTTTATTCACACATTTACACCCAATAGGCTTCTTACCCTTCGGTAATTCAACTATGGACCAAGTGTTATTAGCTTCTAAGGCCTCAAATTCTTTTCTCATGGCTTCCTGCCAGACTAAACTGGTAGCTTCCTGAGAATATGAATGGGGCTCAACTTCAGTTGTGTGTGCCAGTAGAGAGAGGGATAAAGTAGTGGAGCTTAAAATGGAAGGAGGGAGTTGCACAACAAAATCATTAAGATGAGAGGGCAAGGTGTGGGTTCCGCTGCTCTTTCTAGGTGCAGGGAGAGAGAAAGAGTTTGAAGGAGCAGATGTAGAGGGAAGACCAGAAGGAATGGCGGTATTAAGAGAAAAGGCAGCAAGTATAGAAGGTGAAGAAACATCAGCTGAAGGTGGATTATCATGAAAAGGTGTACCAACAGAAGGTGTATAAACAGGAGGAGAATGGGGATGATCCGTGTATAAGAGAGAATCAGTAACAACAGGTGAAATAGGCATAGAAGTAGGACATGGAAGGCAGCTGGAAGGGGTAGAGGAGGATAACATGAGAGGGAAGACAGATTCATGAAATATGACATCCCTAGAGACAAGGATACACTTGGTGGATAAGTTGTACAACTTGTAAACTCTCTTACCAATTGGATAACCAATAAAAATACAAGGTACAACTCTTGGATCAAACTTATTTCTCTCACATTTAGACACAGTTGCATAAAAGACACCCAAATGGCTTAAGATGTGAATAAGAGGGTAACTTGCCATAAAGCACCTCAAATGGAGATTTGTTATGTAAGATGGTGGAGAGAAATCTGTTTATCAAATAGGCGGCTGTTAAAATATAACCCCCCTCCCCCAAAAAAAATTTGGTGGTAACTTAGACTGGTACATCAAGGCTCTAGGTGTTTCGAGTAGGTGCTTGTGCTTTCTTTCAACAATTCCATTTTGTTGAGATATATGAGAACAGGTAGTTTGATGAATAATTCCATTATCCGAGAAGTATTGTAAGGTAGAATTGGAAAGTCCAATCTCCAAGGTATTGTCACTTCTAACATTTTTAACAGAAAGGTTAAATTGTGTTTTTACCATGAAAAATGAACCTTCAACATAGTAAATGCATTACTCTTAGCATGTAACAAGTGAGTCCAAGTAGCTCTACTATGATCATCCACAATGGTAAGAAAGTATTTTACCCCAGAATAAGTCGACTATGGTAGGGACCCTATGTGTCAACATGAATTAACTCAAATAAGAAAGTAGAAGTAGTAGAACTAACTGAAAAGGGTAATCTTATCTGTCTAACAAGAGGACAAACATGGCATATAAAGGATTGCTTGGAAGATAATTCAGCAGAAATAGAAGGGATGGTTTTCATTTTAGAAAATGGAATATGGCCTTATCTATGATGCCAAAGAACATCATTTTTATTTATGATTTGCTTATCATTACAAGGAACAACAGGAACAGTATGTAAAGCAGCCTTATTGTATGTAGTTTTACTAGAATGGTCAAAATTGGAAGCAACTTGCACATTATTTCTAAAGACAGAAACATGAAAGCTAGATTTTGCATTAAGTTGATAGTCATGAATAAGCTTGTAGAGTCCTTGATCCATTTACCAAGTTCCAGAAGCTTCCTCATGGAATGGTCCTGTATCAAAATACATGAGATAGAAGTAAACAAGACAAGGTAGTAAAATTGTTGAATAAGTTTGTATACAGAGATTAGATTATATGGAAAAGAAGGAATATACAAGACATGATAAAGAGTGAGAGATGGAAGTAAAGTACAGGAACCAATACAAGTAACATTTTTCTTATAGCCATTAGGCAAGGTCACCAAATAAGGAGTAGGAAGAGGAGTCAGATTGGAAAGGATTTCTTTATTGAAAGTCATATGATCAGTAGCTCCACCATCTATAATCCATACATCTCTACTTACACTTGACAACATGCAATCATGAGAATCATCATCAGTATAAACAGGCAAGGAAAGAAATTGCCCGCAAAGTTAGCAAATCCCATCAGATTGGATTGAGGCTTAGGAGCAGGATTGATTTGAGTTTGCTGCAGCAGGGACATGAGTTGAGAGAACTGTTGTTGACCCAAATCATGTATAGATGAGACCCTGTCATCAGACACAGCAGCATGTCCAACAAAAGGATCAGTGTGAGCCTGAGCTGAGATATGAATTCCTGTACATGGCTGAAATTGAGCAAATTCAGCAGATACTGTTGCAGCCAATCTCTTTCCCTTGTTGAACTTAAAATTCTGTGGATACTCATGGAGTTTGTAGCATTTTTCAATTAGTTGTCCATGCTTCTTGCAGTACTTACAAAACATATTTCCCCTTGAATGATCAAAATCTATCTTTTGATTATATTGTTTGGGGGGAAAATTGTTTGACATTCATATTAACATTGAAGGATGCAGAATTCGTGTTAATTGTGGGTTGAATTGGACTTGTCTTTGACTCTCATCCTGAAAGAGGATATTTTAAGCATTGTCTAATGAAGGAGGAGGCTACATCATCAGTAAGTTACTCCTCACACCCACATACACCTCATTTAACCCCATAAGGAATTGGTGTAACTTGTCTTCTTTCTTCATCCCTTTGAATATCAAGCTTTGAAGCACAAGTACAAGAATTTTCATGATTTTTGCGCATTGTTCCTAACTTATCCCAGAGCTTCTTTAATTTGTTGAAATATGAAGCAACATCAAGGGAACCTTGCTGAGTAGAAGCCAATTCGCTCTTTATCTCAAAAAATTTAGTTCCATTCACAGTCTCATACATACATTCTAACTGCTTCCAGATACTTTCAACTGACTCCGAGTATTGTACACTTTCAGCAATAGTTGGTAAAAGTGAGCTAGTTAACCAGGAAATAACCATGTTGTTGTATCTGTCGCATTGACGAATCATCGCAGGATTCTTACCAAACATTGGCTTAGGACAGGATCCATCAACAAAACCTATTTTATTCTTAGCTGACAAAAAAACTATCATACTCTTTTTCCATCCACCATAATCAGACCCATTAAACGGAGTACTAACTAAATAGGTTTCGGGAATATCAGAAGAATGAATGAAAAGGGGACTAGAACGGTCTGGTGTATATAGAGTGGTTGTAATTGTACTAGCAACAAGAGGAACTTCAGAATTCACCATATTTAACACTAGATTGTGTACACAAACAAGTCAATTAGGCAATTGAACATGCAATTTCAAAAAAAAATGAAATTAGGGTTACCAACTTTCTTCACCGAACCGAAAAATAGCAGAACCTAGAAGAAGAAATCAATCAGCTGCTCCGAGCTCAGAAAATCCACGACGAATAGTAGAAATTTCGCAGAAAACAAGGAAAACCAGAAATCGACCTCCAAAAATCACCAAATACAGAACATGAATAATAGAACAAAAAATTTCGAATCAACTCGCAAGGTTAGGATCAATTGAGAGCGTGTGCTTAGAGTAATCACAACCCAACTCTGATACCATGTTAAGATTTGTAGATCGAACAGAAATGGAGAAGATTGAATTTAGGGTTCATGTTTAGAGAGGAAACTTCGAGAGGGTTTTTGTCATTTCTTTTCTGTCAAAAAATTATTACAAAATTATCTAACTTCCCAATTATATTGGGCTATAATGAAAGAATATAATTAACAGAGAAAAAAGAAAAGTGGTTCGGATCTGTTAATAAATACAGCCGGCCAAATGGCCAAACACCTAACTAACTATCATCAAGCCCAAATCAAGTAACTCCAACAACATACCAAAAGAGACGCAAACATTTTATGTGCTTCAGTCAATTGACGTACATCCACAGTTGGAGATCTACAATCTAGAATACAAATATTGAGAGAACAACTTCAAAAATAAGCTCACACAAATGACATGTTAACACTTGTCCCAAAAAAAATTTCCCTAAACAAGACTCTCAAACTTTTTACGATTACATTATGGATGTGCTAAATAAGAAAGAAACATCTTTAATTTATAGAAATAAATATGTTAAACTTACTCTTTTACCCCGGAGCTCCGTTAGTGGCAAAGAAAGGTACAAGATCATTTGCTAATGATAATAAATCAATAATATAACAAAAGATAATTAGCAAATTAAGATAATATGGACAAATTTCTTTAATGAATATACGTATGGAAAACAACGTGAGAGTCATCGAAACTGATTTTTCTGAAAAGATAGTGAAAATCGATAAAACTAATTTTTAGTAGAAAAGATAGTGCTTAACTTCACTCGTATTTTTTTTATCACCCCAACTTCTTTTCATTACCTTGATCTTCTTACTGTTTTAACTTAGTTATAGTTTCTCTCAATTGTAAGCAATAATAATAAAATAAAAAGTGGATGATTGATTGTTACTATTGGTTCTAGGTATTTACTTCTAGTGCGTAGATCGGCCCTTTTATAAATTCCAAAAAATAGGGATAAATTTTAAAATCTAAAAATTCCCAAGTTATAGATTTTCATTGAAAAAATTGTTCAAAGCACTTTTTCAAATTTGAAAATCTATTTTCAAGTTGGATTTGAAAAATTATAAAAAATTTATAACCAAAAATTATTTTGAAAAAAGTTTGGAAAAAGGGAAAAAATATTTATGTCCAAATGGGTCCTTAATTTTAATCATGTATTCAGACATATTTTTTTTAAAAAAATAAAAATTTATATAATTTAAAACTACATTAAAAATACTATAAATTAAAATAATTAATTACTCAAACTATTTACAGGAATATAAAAAAAGTACAGGTAAAATATAATTCGTTGGCTCTTGAAATCCAATATTTTCACATAATTTGGAAGGGAGAGAGTATCACAATTTGACTTTAAAGTATAGTTGAGCCTGAAGTTCTGGTAGTATTAAAATTTTACTCTATGTCACAGACTAAAATTTACTTCATACTTAAAATTGGTTATATTTATGAAATTTACGGTTAAATTTTTTTAAACATCTATATCCTACGTTCGCACTTATTATTGCCAAGAACTATGGACGTAGTACTAAGGGATTGTTTGGTTACCGGAAAAAAAAAATATTAATTCCGATATAAATTTTGGGATTATAGTTATTTCATATTTTATTATTGGTATTAGCTAGTATATTTTTAAATTTATATCAAAATAGTGATATTAGTTATCAAATATATGAGGTGGAATAAATAATTCTATGAGAGTATTACTTAACAAATGGGGCTTTTATTAGTAACACCAATTTGGTTCCATATTTCGAATCATCAAGCGTAGGAGGAAGACAAAAGACAATCTTGTCGAGAGAATATGATTTTGACAGTTGGCATACATACGTGGAAGTTGACTATAGAATTTAGATAATTTTTTAATGAAATTTACATAGTGAGCCAATTGAATTTTATTTGTCAGAAAATTGTCTTTTGCATTAGGTAATTGGTTTTATCGGTATTGTTCGCGCAGCGGATACAATCAAGGCGAAATGACAAAATACAGAAAAATAAAATATTTTTATTGAGAATCGAACAAAAGACCTCTACGTACTAAGCAAGTACTATAACCAACTGAACTACGAGAGCTTGTTGCTCTCTTCTTGCACTTCAACACAATTGATCTCTTATTTCAGTACTTCATGTAAATTTGCTATAAAATTCAAATATAATTACGAATGATAATTTTCTTGAAAGTAACTATAATTGATCATTATACATGTTTGTTATGTTGGGTAATTTTTTCTTGTTTATTAACACAAGGAAAGAGTAATAACAAAGAGGACTAGAAAAAGTTTTAGATCCCAAATTCTAATTAACCATTTATTGTAGGAAATCTTACGGGAATATATCCAAAAAAGATACTCCCTCTGTTTCAATTTAGATAAAGTATTTTGATTCGGAGCGAAGTTTAAGAAAAAAAAAGATTTTTGAGACTTGTGGCCTTCAAAGCTTAGGTGGTAAAAGCTTTGTGGCCATGACATTTGTGTGGCTATAAAAGCTTCTCATTAAGGGTAAAATGAAGAGTTTAAAGTTGAATTATTTCAAAATTTAGAAATGTATCATTTATTTTGGAACAGACTAAAAAGAAAAGTACCTCATCTAATTTAACGGAGGGTGTACTATTTACCAATAACTAGCCATTTTAGTCATGGTGTCAAAAATAGCCAAATTTTTTTTATCAATGATATACATTCAAAAACCATAGGCCAAAAAAGGATTTTTTTAAATGGATATTGTTGCGATTAGTTGCAAACACATAGATAAGGCATTATACAATTTTTGACGAAGTATGAAGGTGAGTTAGACTAGTTTGGAGTCGAAATTCATTACCAATGATATACAATATTAAAAAAAAAAAGGCAAAAGAGGAATTTTTTCTCCAATAGGTATGGCCGCAATTTGTTGAAAACATATAGATGACGCAATGTACAAAATTTGAGCAAGATTGTAGGTGACTGGTTTGGTATCATAATTTGTAGTTAAAATCGAGTTTTAAATTTTTTCAGCGACACATGTATCAAACTGGTATCACACATGTATCTCTCTCTCTCTCTCTCTCTCTCTCTCTCTCTCTCTCTCACACACACACACACACACACACACACACACATATATATATATATATATGGATATACATTGATACATATATGATACATATGTGATACACAATGATACATAGTGTGATACACATATAATATTTTTCCATCTTTTACTTCGAATTTTCAATTCAAACCACCTCAAAACTCCGCCAAATCATCCCAAAACTGAGATTCAAGCTCTTTAAGATGTACCCAATAATACTCACTCAAAAGAAAGTAAAAACTCAATATTTTTTGGCTACAAATAAATAATTGACTAACATAAATAATATTTTGTGAATTAACTAATTTTTATATTAATTTGCATATGGACGGGCATAACTAATATTTCGGGAGAAATTCAAAAATAGCCAGATTTACCACTGGTCGTTGAAAAATAGCCAAGTTTTAAAAGTCATCGAAATTTAGCCACTTTAAATCTGAGCGAAAGCACTGTTCAAAATCCGGAAAAATACGCTCGCAAATTTTACGGGAGTTCCAGCATAAGTATGCTTGAACTCCCGTAAATTTTACGGGAGTTCCAGGATAACTATGCTGGAACTCCGGCAAATTTTACGGGAGTTCAAGCATAATTATGCTGGAACTCCCGCAAATTTTACGGGAGTTCCAGCAAGTATAATTGTCCAGTATAATATACTGGAGTTTGGAGCACTGGTGCTCCGGTCTCCCGCAATTTTTACAGGAGTTAGCAAAGTATACCGGTCCAACATAATATGCTGGAGTTCGTACACAAATGCACCAGAACTCCCGTATATTATAATGGACCGGTCCCTGTTGCAGCAAAATAGTGGCTATTTTTCATTGACTTGATAAACGCTGGCTATTTTTCATTGACCAGTGTGAAAACTGGCTATACCATGATATTTTATCTAATATTTCCCTTTATTGGAAGTGTAAACGGACATGGTGATGAAAGTTTGTTAAGAAAAGCTTGGCCCATATTAGGTATAAATTCACCTATCAAATCGGTAGGTGACAAAAATGGAGCTGTTACAACCTAATGGAATTTCTTTTTTGGTACGTAGGAAGAAAACAATCTGTCTATATTGGCTTTTGGACATAAGAATTTTTTACTTTTTTTTAAAAAAAAAAATCACGTTTTTTCTGAATCAGTATTTGGCAATACAATTTTCAATTTTTACTTGAAAATGATTTTTGGAATTAATATGAAAAACTCTAAAAAGCTGTTTTTCAAAATTTTCACCCAGATCACTCACAGAACTTCAAAAATAACCCAAATTATATTCATGTCCAAACACAACTCTAATTTTCAAATACCATTTTCATTAAAAAAAATCACTTTTTTTGGAATTTAACAATTCTTATGTCCAAACGCCCACTAGATCTACCTTATTAATTAAACATAAGTCATCCAAAACGTGAATGTTATGTGAAAATTCTTGTCTACAACAAATCTTCTATTAGCAGAGAAATAGATTCAGAATCTTAATTAATTAAGCCAGTTAATTATAATAATTCCAAGTTCCACCTTGAAGTCATGCAAATACTACATGAATGGAAAATGAGGGGAGAAAAACAAAACATAAAATAAAATAAAAGAATTAGAGATATTTATCATTTCCCCCCTAT